CTCGGCGCTGGCGGGCGGTTTTGCTTCCTGCGAAGGCTGGCAGGGCCGAAGCGGGGGCCCGGCGCGGCAGGCACACATTGAAGGCCAAGGTCAGGCGGCCGGGTTGCACCGGGAAGAGAGGAGCTGGGCCTCGGGGAACAGGATTTCCTCGCCTCCTGGGCGCGGCCGCTCCGGGCCTGGCCGCACAAGGCCTCCTTTGTGGAGGGCCCAGCTCCTGGGCAGACCCAAGTCAGTGAACAATAGCGCAATGTTGCCGCCCGCCCGGCCAGGCTCTCCGGGCTGCACCGCGGCCGCCGAAGGCCAGGAAACCGGGTGGCGCTTTTTTATAGTCGCGAATATAAAATCGGGGCTTTCTCCCCTTTCGCTCGCCCCCTACCCAACGCCGATAGAAAGCAGATAAATTTATGAAGGGCGAGCTAAGAGAATAATTACAGAGTGAAGGCCGTTAAATTTTATTTCCAGTCCCAAAGGCAAAACCTGCGATTTTATTGCAAACATCTGGAAGGACCGAGAGGAGGGCACGCTGCTGGTTTAAAATAAAAACAAAAGATTTTATTTCGCGAAAACAAGAAAACATCATTAAAGACCCTTTCGCCCCCACGGACTTTTATTTTCTTAAAGTGTGAGGGGGTGGATGAACAGTCAACGACGCACGACGGTCCCACAGCTCCGGGCGACTCGAGATGCGGTCTACAGGAGTGGGCCCGCGCGGGCTGGTATTGCGCAGGCATCTCCAGAAATCAGCTCCCTCCCACGCCCACCCGAGGGCTCCGGGCCAGTTAAGCCACCCCATAACCCGGCGCCAATTTGGGAAAAGAAGTGAAAAGTGGGTCCGTTGGCCTCATATTCCCGGAAGGTTCGATCACAGCCATGCTAAGACCTCGGGTCTGTCCAGCCTCCCAGCGATTACCTTGTCTGCCTTGCTCGGTTATAAAATATGTAGGACCCCTGCATCCTGCCGACAGGGAAACTGAGGCACGGGCCATGAACGGACTCGCCGAAGGTCACAGTTTAGAGCGGCCCGGGACCTGGATGCCAGGCTCTACCTGCCCTGAGTGTTTCCTCCCACGCCATAGTCGTCTCATGTTTTGTGTCTGCCCCGTCAGGCCAAATTCTTTATCATTCCCAAGCCCCCACAGAGTGCCCTGCCCGCGTGTTCAGAGGGCGGTCTCACTCATCCTGCTGGTCAACCAACTATTTTTAACTTTGTTTTCAATTGCTCAAAACTGCAAAATCACAGCGTCTGGGGGCTTCCCTTAATGTTGGGGTATTCGCAGTGGTGGTATTTAGGGTGTTTAGTGTGGAGAAACAGAAGGAGAGGACAGGCGTGTGGAGCGTGTAGGGGCTGCTTTCCTGGACTCTTGTTCCTAGGCTGCAGAACTCTGTCGCTTCTTAGAAAAATCAAAGTGTGTGGATGTAGCCAGTTTTAGGTGAGCAGTCACGGTGCCACATTTCCTTTCTTGGCTTTCCATCCCGTGGAGGCTAAGCCTGAGCATTCACTCCCCTATGTCCCTACAGGTGGTCAGTGAGTTCCTTTTCTCTCCCCGCCAACCTCCACCCTTCCTGACTCCTCAGGTGCTTAGCAATCACAGTCTCCGGGGGGCCCTTCAGGGGTAGGGCGGGGCCTTCGGTTTGCTCCTTGTCAATCAGCTTCAGGCCTGAAATAGACCTGAACTGCGAGCCGCATTACTTCCACATGCCACCCAGGATCCCAGAATGGGGATTGCCTCGGAAATTAGCCTCATTAAATTGGGGGACCCATTCTTAGTCCTAAAAGTTAAGGGAGAGATAAACTGCGGTAACAGGAGATTTTGAAAGCCCTTTGATACAATGAGTGGAAGGAAAATGCATCCCATACTCCCAGATTCTTACATTTAATCCCCCCAACCCTCTTTTTCTTCTTCTCCCCAACTGCATAAAATGGCACACCTATGTCACAGGCATTAAACTCTCCTGCTTAATCTTTCTCCAGACCTTCCTCCCCCCCCAGCACAGGCCACACCAAGAAGTACATATCCCTGGGGAAAAACCCCAAAAACTTAGATAGACCCCTGTAGTCACAAAAAGAAAATGTTCTATTTTCACGACTGTTCTGAAGCAGTCTGGCTTCATTAACGTCCGATTTGTTTTAATGGCCTAACCTACTTTTCTAGGACATGTGTACATATAGGATGAGGGTGGGGACAGCCTCTGTGCAACCTGTCCGAAGGGTGTGGGAGCACCTCGGAGCACTCTAGGCTGAGCAAATGCTTCTGGGTGGGGTGCGTTGGCCTGCTGTTGCAGGCTTTGCTCACTTCTCTGTGTGGGTCTCTGAGACATGTGTCTACGGACACCAATGACGTGCAAGCCTTCTGGGTCTGCATATAGGTCCTCTTTGTGAGAAACTTTCACGGCCGCAGAGAGGGTTGTGTGGCCTATGGTGTGTCTACTTCTCAATCCAAACCAGGTCTGTGCGAGAAGGCCAAGGCAAGAGGCTGCCAGAGAGAGAGAGAGAGATGCAAGATACAGGCTGTGGGGGAGGAGGAAAACGCTGCGAAAGAATAGAGGCCAGCCCCCTCACTACCCTGCTGGGCCTGGTCCGGGCAGGCTCCAGCCGCAGGCAGTGACACCACACTTGGGAGCTGAAAGAGAGGTCTGAGCGGCGGGGAAGGTAACTACGCTCCTGGCTGGCCATGTCTCCAAGCTCCTGTGCTGAAGCTTGGAGGTGGTGAATGCGTGGTCACTGTAGGCAGCGGCTGCCGGAAGCAATGCCCAGTAGTGATGGAGGTGGGAGGCACCGCGCCATGTCACCCCGGCTCCTGGAGTTTGCTAGGCAACGTGGCGGGAGGTGCTGAGGGACCCAGCGCGCCACTTGCAGATCCCAGGGTTCTTGGGGACCCCCCAAGCCTGAGACGCAGGCTCCTGGAAGGCCCAGGAGGCCGAGCCCCACTGGATCCCACTCATCCGGTGGTCCTCCATTATTCTTTCTGCATTTGCAATGCGGCTAGTTTCTTCTCATGGGGGCTGGAGGCCAATTTGAGGGGGCTCCAAAAGTGGCCTGTTTTTTTGTTCTTCTCTAAAGAAGCCCAAGTACATTCACGCCCCTTGGCTGTTACTTCCAGGACCAGAAGCACTTCCAACTACAACAGCAGGGACTAGATTTCCCCAGGTCCCTCAGCAGTCACTAGGGGAATGTGACATTTCAGAGGCCTCACAGGCCCTCCCTTCTCGCCCCAGGGTGGGAGGACCTCTGGGCGCTCCTTCCAGTGGGGGGGGGCGGCCTATGACACGCTGTAGGCCCCTCTGCCCTAGGCTTGCGGGTTCAGACCCTGCTCAGGGCCTGGCTCTCAGCGAGACCTGTCTGGTGGGCCTCTCGGTCTGTCGCTGGCACCCAGGAGCTGGCTCTTTCCTGCCCTTTCGCGCGGGGATAGAGGCGTCTGGACCAGGGCGTTGGGACAGGACGATCAGCCTGTGGCGAGGCCGTGGTCCGTGAAACCCGAGAGCTTTTTCCAGCTCGGTAGGATCAACTTCTCGGCCCCTCTGAACTCGCTCTGCGCCGGGCTAGGCTCGGGGTCTCCTGCGGCCCGCGACCAGTAGTGCAACCTGGGAAGGGGTGTGGGAAATCAGAATGACCAGAAGTGGTGGATTTTAAGTTCCTTAGAAATCTGGCAATGGCACTGTCCTGAAAGATTTTTTTTTTAAGGGTAGCAGGAGCATCAGCGGGGCGGGGAGAGCCGGGCTCACGAGGTGATCGATTTGAAGGGAATTTTGAAAAAGCTTCTTCTACGCTGTCCAAGTTCCTGGTTGCTCTCGCCCGGCCCGTCGCCGAGGGTTTTCCAGAAAAAGCGCCCCGAGCGGGCGCAGCTCGGCTCAGCATCCGCGCGGAAGGAAGGGAAGGGGAGCGTTTGCAGCGTGCGGGCCCAGTCGGGATCCGCCTGCGGAGCGCGCGGTAAGAGGGGCGCCCTACCGGCGGCCTCCCGCTTTGAGGGGCCTACGGCTCCTCCACCAGGTATAGCTGGAAGGAGGAAGCAATCATTAGATTTGGAATGACAAGATTCTGGATAGTGATGGGGCTTGTTTGCTGATTTCTTTCGTTTTGCGTAAACCAGAGTCGTTAAGAAAAGTAAGGAAACTAAGAACCTGCGTGGCGAAACCCGCGCGGAAGCAGCGGATCTAAAAGCGTCTGGGGGCAGGCGCGAGATTACCCGAGTCGTTTTCTGGCGTTTGGGACAGATTGACATCTTGTCTGAGCCCCCAAATTCCAGATCTGTAATTAAAGGGACTCTGGGTTTGGAGCGTCTATGAGACCTAGCAGATTTGGGAGGAAAAGGTACGGATTTGGGGCTGGCAGGAGTTTGTGACGGCACACATCGACCTCGATTTCGGTTCCCCCCTCTTCTCTCTCCCTCCCCCCAGTACGAACCCACGGGACACCGGGGAGCCAGGGGTTAAAGTTGGCCCAGGAGCGTCCCGGAGCCGACTGGCTCTGAGCCCTGGCCCGAGCCTCAGTCTCTCCCCTCTGCTCATTGGCCCGCGCTCTCAGGGTTTCTCCTGTTCCCTCCTCGCCATTGGTCGGGGGCTGGCTTTTTTTCCCCTCAGTCTTTCTCTTCCTCCCCCCTCCCTCTCCCTCGCCCCAAGGACAGGAGCGCACCGCCTGCCCCCTGCTCCTCGGGAAGGGAGGAATTTAGAAAAAAAGTTTCCCAGAAGTTTGGATCAGAGGAAGGACGGGAAGACCAAGAGAGGAAGAGGGAGAGGGAGGAGAGAAAGGGAGAGGGAGGAGAGAGAGAGAGAGAGAGAATAAAAAAAAGATGAAGTCCAGTCTGTACAGCCTGTGAGCGCCTGCCCGGGTGGGTGGGGAGCAGGACGCGGGCGCTCATGCAGCGAGCCGGCGTTGCTGCCGGCGCTTGTTCGTAGCCGCAGGGGCAGCTAGGGGCGCCGGTCCCAGTCGGCGGCGGAGGGCGGGGGAGGGCACAGGGGGAGGTGCAGAGGACCCGCTGAGCCGCCGCCTTTCCCGGGCCCGGCCCGGCGGGCGCTCGGAGCGTGAGGGCGCGGGCTGCTCCCTCAGTAGCGGGGCGAGCGGGGACCCGGGTGCGGGCGGCTAAGATGAGTGAAAGGAGAAGATCTGCAGTCGCCCTGAGCTCGCGAGCACATGCCTTCTCCGTTGAAGCCTTGATCGGCTCAAATAAAAAGCGGAAACTGCGAGACTGGGAGGAGAAGGGGCTGGACCTGTCCATGGAGGCGCTGAGCCCCGCGGGCCCACTCGGAGACACCGAGGACGCGGCCGCACACGGCCTGGAGCCTCACCCGGGTGAGTGCGTAGGGCCAGACCGCGGGAGGCGGGCGGCCAGCCGGCGGGCAGTGGTGAGGAGGGAGGCCCTAGCCGCCGACGCCCTGCCCAGCTCCAACGCGGGTTCCTTTTTTGCGCAAATGCCTTGAGCCTCCCCCAAATTCGCCGGAACCAATTTGAGGGAACTGGCCTACGCCTTGCGTTTTCGTCGCCAACCTCAAGCGATGAGGCCTCCCTGCTCGCATCTCCTTCTCCTCTGGGAGCAGGGCTCAGTGTTCCTGGCGCCCAGAGCTGTGGGGCGCAGGGCCCTCGGTTTAGGAGGGGCGCCGATCGCAGGCAAGGGTCGGAGCGCAGAGGGCTGGGACTCGCTTCTGAGAGCTCAGGACACCCGGCTCGGAATTCTTGACTTGACACCCCAGTTTCGGGAAATGCTCAGTTTATCCCATTTAGGTTTCAACATAGACCCTCGGCCCCCCCCCCTCCCCCCCCCGCCCCCTTGACTTTTCTGGGACCCAACTTGTTGAATTTCTCCTCCTCCTTGAGGAGGGAGCAAAATTATATTTCTAAGTTGTTGGCGTTTATGGAAAGAGGAATGTATGTCAGACCCTTTTACCCTACGTCCTGGGTCACTCTTCAGGGCCCACACACACCTCTGTGTATTTGGGAATAGAGGTACGACTAATTTGGGTCTTGGATCTGTGCACATTACATGCACGCAACACGTAAAACACGGGGCGGATGTCAATGTCTGTATTTTTACAGAATCCTGGGGGTGGGGGACAACTTAACGTTTTGTATTAAGTGCCAAGATTTCAACTGTGCAAAACAGCCCGGGGGAACAGCTGTTGTTGGAAGAATCCAGCACGGGCGCTCACCCACATACACACACGCAACGACCGCAACTTCAGAAACTTTCCAGCCAGGACTTCTAAAACTGTTCTGGAGGTGCTCCTTCTGACCAGCTAGGGCTGGGGAGGAAACCCGGGCCAGCGAGCCGGGCCGCATAGGATGGGGGAGGCGGTGGGCCCAGGAGCTTGGGGGCTGGAAAGCTGGCCGTCCCAAGGAGAGACAGCTGTCGCTTACATTCTCTCTTGCGGCAGTGACAGTTCAATTTCCATGCTCCTGAGGCTAATAATAACGCGATTAGCGGGTGACCTGCAGAGGCAGAGTTTTATGAATTCTCCGTGTTCTTGTGGCCAGTTATGGTATTTGGGTTTAGTGCTGGGGAATTATTTTTATTAGTCGATGAAAAGAAAATTAAAAGGAGATTTATTTCGTCCACTCAAGTCTTCCCCTGTGCTTGGACACGGGTGCCCGTCCACGCGGACCCCTGTGTGGGGCAATTCAGAAAGGAACGTGCAGCTAATGTGTGTTTCCCATCTCTGGCCAGACCCTGTTTCCTCTCCGCATTGATTTTGTTGTCACAATCTCGCTTGGGCCTTCACTTAGTTTAGTAGAAGTTCTTTCAGGCCTTACGACAACTCACGATTTGGGAGGTTAGTTTATTTTACTTTCCCGATGGTGGAAAAGGCAGAAGTTATTTAACTGCGCGTGGCAGACGCCCTGTTCCGGGCAATTTTCTCCAGGGAGTGGGGCCAGGTCTCCCGCAGCCGGCCTAGGGTCGCATGTTCAAAAGGGCCAACACGCGGGGTCATAATCAGAGACTCGGCTCCACGTTTTCTTTCTGTCGTCCTCAGCCATCAGCGAGGAGAGAAAAGTGAGGGCTTGGGGCAAGGAGAGACCAGTCCGGGGACATGAACGCGGTTCCCTCGCTCCCGCAGCTCTCGCGGGATGGGTGTGTGTCTCTGTGTGTGTGTGTGTGTGGGGGGGGTGAGGACCTAATATAGGACTTTACTAACGGAGTTCAGTGGACCAGTTCCCATTACCTTTGTCGCTGTTTCCAAAAAGGAAAAGATGGGCGTTTGAATTTAGAGAAAACGAAATATGTCTGTGGGACAAAGGTCCGGGAGGAAGAAGCAGCCGGAAACCGAGAGCACTCCTGCGGAGCAGGGCTCACGGCCTAGACTGGCCGCGTCGTGGGCCGACGGGACTCCAAGCTGGAGCCCCGCAGTGGCCAAGGCTTTCTTAGGAACCGGACTTGGGATGAGAAAAGATCGTTCAGAAAAGGGGCGCGCGTGGCGTGGAGACTCGGCAGTCCGGGGAGTGGAGGAGGCTGAGTTGCGGGCTCTGGCTGCGCCCGGATGATAGCGGAAGGCATGGCCAGGGCTCGGGTCCCCTGTAGGCCTTTCTTTTTTGTCTGTAATACAGTGTCCAAACGCGCGCGGTCACACACACACACACAGAGCCACATTTAAAGGTGTGTATATGGTGGTGGGGATGGGAGATGGGGCACTGGTGACTCCATTGTGACCGGGCCATGTCTCTGCCCTGCTGGGCCTCACAGTTCTGTTTAAACTCTCTTCTCTGGATTAGGACGGGGGAGGGTTGGACGAGCTGCCTGGCTCAAGTGTCCTAGGCCGATATGTAGTCAGGAACAGAAAACAGAAACAAAACCAAAAAAACAACAAAAATGAAATTGCCACAACGCTGGGGAAGGATTAAACGCGCGTGTCCATACGCAAGACACTTGCCTAGCGCGACTGTTATTTGTCATTCTCCTCATCCCCTCCCTCTGACTGGTACCATCGTTTTCTGTCCTCCCTGTCCGAACCTCACCATCCCAGGGATCCTCAAACAACCCAAGGGTCAGATTTAATTTCACTTTTATTCAAAGACGTGGCCTTTTGCTTTTTCGCAGCCCGTTTTTCTTTCCGCGTCCGGATAGAGCTGGCTTTAGTTGGCGCCGAGCGCTCGCGGCCTGGGGCACCAACCTGCGGCAGCGGGGGACCAGCCCGGCCTGCGCGCCGTAGGCACTCACACAGCAGAGGACACACAGTATGTATTTCAAAAATTTCCACGGAGCCTGGCGGTCCCGAAAACCCCCGGATGCTCTTACAAGGGCCTGCGAGGTGCCCTCGTTATTACTCCCGGGCCAGCACTCGCGTCTTTTGGAGAAGCCACCAGGACTCGGCCGCTGCGGGCTGGGAAGGGCCTCAAAACCCACCTCGGAGGAGCCTGGCTCTCGGGCCTGCTCGCTCCCGCTTCGCCCCCAGCAGCAACAGAGGAAAATTTCGCCCGGAACAGCTGCTTGGGCTGCGGCGGCCTTGGAAGTATATTTCAGGCACGCGGCGGCGCCATCGTCGCTTGCACCGCAACCCCTGCTCCACCCAGCTCCCCAGCTCGGGTTTGGGCCTTTCCCGCCCAAATCCGAGCGGAGGCCGGGTCTCCCGCAGAGCGAAATAATTTAAACCTTCTGCGGGGGTGGGGAATTTCTCTCTCCAGAACCCGCGGGCTTGAGCCGTGCAGCCGCCGCGCTCTGGCGGCCTAAGGAGCTGGCGATGCACGCGGGTGGGCACACAAAGCCGCGCACACAAGAACACGCGGGTAGATCGGCACTCCGCGCACACGTGCACACACGTCAGGCACTCGCATTCCCCCTTGCACACGTCTGTCTGCGTAACGCCTAGTGAAATGACACAAGAAAAACTCTCACTGGTGTCCCATCACACTTTCTTCTTTCGAATGGTCAAAATCGTCTGGTCAAGAGAATTAACGTGCCAGTTTATGGCTTGTTTTTTCCGAGTAGATCCCCAAGATTTAAATCCTGACACCACTCCTCTACCCATCCCCAACCCCCAATAGGGAAACACAGGGTCAAAACGGAGGAAGTGACTCTTCACTGACGTTTAAGTAACCGAGAGAAAGCGGTGAGTTCGAAGCCAGTAGAGAGAATGTGCTTGTGCGGGGCCAGCACCAGCCTGGGTGCAGGTCAGGGCTGGGACCGCAGTGCAAGGGTGTGTGGCACGCGGGGCGAGACGCCCAAGGGTTTGCCCGGGGCAGAGTCCCGGGTGAGGAACTCTGGCTCCCCGGTGGTACGCGCGCCCCTGCACCGGTGCAGGATTCGAGGATGCGGGGCCTGAACCCCGCAGACGAGCCAAGTGTGGGGCCCAAGGCTCCGGCCTGCTAGGTTCAAACGGCCTTGGCAGTGGCTGCCCCTTTGGTAACTGACCTTGTGTGAAGGGGAATGGGGGGAGAGAGTCAGGCAAAGTCTAAATTCGTCGGAGGCTGGTGAGGACAGTGGTTTGCTGGGGGATGACTGCCAAATGCCTTTTACGAGCGCTGGTGGGACGGCGGCTAAATCCGATGCCCTCTGGATGCGCGGGGCTAGGAGAGCGCACCGCAATGACCTCTTGGCGGTAGGGAGAGTTATGGAGGCGTTCCGTGTAACACTGCGGCGCTGGCGCGGTGACACAGTAGAAGCCCCTAGGAAAAAGGAGTTAATTCCAACCCACTCCGTCCCAAAGACGGAGCAAACCGCTCGAAGGCAGTGGGGAGGACAGGGAACCGGGAGAACCCTGAAGGTCAGAGTTTGGATTGCGATGGAAGGAAGATGGAGTGTGCAGTGGTTTGCACCTCCGCAGGTCCCCGACCCCACCTCCCCCAGGGGGGTTCAGAAACTCGTGTGATGGGTGTGGAAGGTATGGGGGTAACGAGGAAGCGGGCGGGGGGAACTGCCCCTCGATTCTTGGCTACGCGGTGCAGGGCGGCCCCTTGCCCGGCTCCTCCAAACCACCTCTGCCCCTCGGAGACCAGCCCAAAGAGCACAAGCTTAACGGGTGCCCAAGGCTTTCCTACACCGATCGGCTCGCAGCCCACCCGCACAACGATTCTGAATTCGCGCCTTCCATGCCCCACCCAACGCTATTTCTTATTAAATTTTTTTTGGGTTCAGAGCTGGCCGCTTTGGGTTTCCTGATTTTATAGGTAAAACTCCCAGAAAGAAAAGTTCACGAGGTAAGACGTTCATGCAGGGGGTAGCAGGAATTCAGTGCCTTACAGTGGAGTTTGGACTGAAATTATATTGACATATATCCGCTGCCATTTTCCTGTGCCCCCAAATTCCAATTACTTCAAATGGTATAATAAATATCTTTTAATTGTTAAAGATAATTGGTTTTAAA